AGGCATATGGGAGTGCTGGGACGTTGAGAACACTAGGATTGAATTCCCTACACCTATAGGTCTTGTACGAAAGGATACAGAAAAACTACTCTATCTAACAGCTGTGTTGAACTGCTTAAGTATACCGTTAGGAGGACAATTGGACCCGGAGCGGTAGACTAGCTTATCGTGCATGCAGGTGCCAACAGGGGCTCAGATAGTACAGCAGCGCGATGCCTGCCGACATGTATGCAGATAAGGAACGACTCGGAACCGTACCGATGGTCATTCGGTTGCGGTCGTTACAACTTCTTGGTAGAAGCCTATCCTTTCCAGTAGATCTGGCATCCAAAGTCTGCCACACTGATGACACAGGCCATGTACAGCTCTCTTATAGCAAAGGGAGAGAGGCCTCTCTCACTATTGGCAAGCCTGCACAACTGGTAAAATGCAGACCTGGCCTGGCTGGTCCTGGTTGCCATATGCTCCTTGAAGGACAGGGCACTGTCAAAGTAGATACCCAACCATCTGACAACCTTTTTAGGAGACACTGTAGTCTGATCTGGGAAGGTGAGCACTGAATGGTGAAGTGGATGAGCTCAGTCTTTGCAGCATCAAACTGGATGGCACATGAGTCTCCTTGGGCAAACAGGCTAGCAATGTCTCTCTAGCCTTGCACGGAAAAGAGGCGGTGCGCAAAGGATTCCTTCTATGCTGGTACCTGCGGGAATCACACCAGGGTCACAGTGGTTCCGGTCGTGGTTGTTACAAGTAGTGCTCATATTTGTCGCAATTATCAGCCTTGAAGCGTTGGCTATTGATACCGGATGTCCATCATGATATAAGGTGTATACGGTGTCGGTCAATGAAGCGGTTAGCCCAGCACTTTCTGGTGTATCTCTGTGCAATCTCTGCTGCGAAATTTCGTATCATTTGGCCTGTAGGAGGTAGCCCATGTTGAGGAAGCTCATCTATGTATGTTATAAGCTCACGCACTTGCTGTGGTGTGAGGTGTTTACACCATCATCTATCTTCCTCGAAAGAATGAACGCTTGATCTCAAGGTTTTGTCGCAAGACTGGAACGAGAACTAGTATTGTCATAATTGAGTCACTCAAACGGTGATATCGATGCTGTAAAATGGCGGTGAAGATGCGCGACTGGCGGACAGCTGCTCACTCCAGGTGAAGTAGAACTTTGGAACCACCTGCGACGTTGTGGAAGTTTCTTGACAGTATCGCACGAAGTTAGGGTGAATGAAAATTCCTGCTTACCCCTGCGCAGGGCTTCACGAAAGTGCCCTCAGACCACTAAGCGTTGCATACTAACATCGAGAATCAAAAGCACATATACAAGAGATTGTTACTATCTAGCAGAGGTTTTTTGGAGGGTTTCAACGCATTGTACACCTATCAGTAGCGGAGTCGCGGTCAATTGCTCGATTTCGGTTTTCTCACTTTCACTTTGCTCCTTCCTTACCATTCGGTTGGTCCTTTCCTGTTTCTGGCCCGCAACTTCGGTCTCTGTTTCCCTTCCTTCCCTTCTCCCAAACACACTCGATGACCTCCTGGACCTTCCACATCTCAACCGCACGGCCGGTCATTCCGCGATCATGTTACCACCATCTCTTACGCCGACAACGAACGTCGCATACTACAGTGTACATCGTGGGCCAGTGTTTGGATCAGATGGCGAGTTTCACCATTTCATGAGGCAGTGTGATCCGATTCATACAAGGAATGGATACTGGAGATTCTCAACGTACGATGATGATCGGCGTGCCTATAAGTGTGGACTGAGTACGCCCGAGGCCGTTCTGATTGCACAAGATATTCGCGATGGCGTATATGACGACATAATACTGCGCTGGGTGCCAGGGGAGCTTGATGTGTGCAACAAGCCTTCGGTGGGCACGGCAGCAGCGCACTTGGAAACCATCTACAATGAGAGGAGGATATTGGGGAAGCCGCTATCTTTTCGAGGTCGAGTTCCATTGTACCCCATCAGCACTGATCAGAGGCTCATCAATTACCGACTCACGAGATATGGCATTCAGAAAGGCGTGTCACCAGATAAAACTCTCACGTCGCCGAACCACACAGCACCGACTACCTCTACGCCTGTTACAAACGCTAGAAGTTCTCCAAATCGAGTTCCTGCAACAGTCTCGACAACTGCATCGTCGCTCTCGTCGCCGCAGGCCAAGAGCAGGCTTGTCTCGCCTATCCGATCAGCGCCGACATCAGTAGCTGTACCGCGCAACATCACGCCAATCCGATCGAACCCACTCGTTCCAATTATGCACTACACGACAACAGGAGTCCACCTTGGATCTACTGAAGATCTCCAGGCTTCACAGCTCACCCAGCACGACCACCGCAAAGCTTCACCGATAAGTCCCAGATTACATGGGCGTATGCCACCGAATAGCACGAGTACCTCCGGGATTACTCATGGATCCTTTCCGTCGCCTGCTGCGAAACCTGGAGGGGTAAAAAAGCATAACCTGTCGGATGATAACGAAAATGCATGTTACATGCACGGCAGCAATGGAATCGTAGATGATTCGATTGGTGATATCTCAGTCCTGTTGTGCACGAATTTGACGCCCTCAGAATTGTTCGAGATTCAAAGCGCAACACTGCCATGCATGGACTGCGGATTGGTTGTAATTCATGCGTCTCATTGCTGGATCAATGGTATGATGCCTTTGCAATAGACGTTTTATGTATATTGCTGACCTGCGCCGCGCACAGAGGCCGCCTTGATTCTGAAGCCCACCGAGGAGTTGACTGCCTTCAGGCTGCGCGAACTTGTCGAGAACGTCGAACGTTTCGATCCTGGACCTTGGACTACGCATGTTGGTCTTCCGCAACAGCTAGTAGAGGATGATTCCAAGACTCAGGTCCAAGGTATGACAAAGATCATACGCAACCTTGATGCAACGACGAAAGATCCGGAGCTACAAGTGTTTGACGATCAGTTTACGGTTTTGCTTCGGGCACTTAAGTCACCCGGCAATGTTCAAATCATTAAAGGGTAAGCCATACTTGCATTTAATGGACGTCTGCTGACAGCATGAAAGGGCACACTCCGTCTCTGGCATTGGATTAGACGACTATGAAATGCCAGATGCATGGTAGTCCAGCGAACGGCAGGTGCGTAGGTTGCATAGGTACAACGGAGCACAGTGATGATGTTGCAAAGTTGCGAGGCAGGCAGGCAATCGCAAAAATCCGGGTATCCAAAGTTGTGGATTAAAAAGGAATGAAGCGGGAGCCTGGAGGACTTCAGGGTGTCAGCGAGAGGCAAAATTTTAATACTATGAAGCTACTATTTACGCGATGTGAAGCCAAACCTGAAGGTCTTCAAAGCATTGTAGATTTTGAGAGTTGATATGTTGTTCTGTGAATCTTGAGTTGCGAACTGACTTCTTATTACTTACGCTTTGGCTATGATCAACAGACGTCATGCTACTAGAAGCGAGGATTTACAAGCCCACTCTGTTCGTACTTCTCGTACATACCCGCTTCAAAGCTGCGGTCCAAAGCTGCGCACTTCGCGTCGCCAGTGGGTATCACCTGCCCTGCGTACAAGCCACACAGTCCGGTCCTGCGGTCAACCCACTAAGTTATGTCAGGTACACAGAATACAAACAGGATGTAATGGAGCTTACCCAGATCAGGTTTGGCAAACCGCCCCAGATCATCGTGCCGGCCGCTTTGCCATCTGGCTGATCCTCCGTGAGTAGGAGGCCTCCGAGACCCCAGTCTCTCTTCGAGTCTTTCAGGGTTCCGCCCATCGCATTGTTGACCTATATCACTCACTGTCAGCCAAACCTTTAACGCTATACCATCGTGCCTACCATATCGTCCTGCAGAACTGCATTAATCGCCGCAGAAGCCCCCTCGCCCAACTGTGGCGTGAAAAACTCCTCCAATGTCTCCTTCTTCAGTAGCTTCTCATCCTCATCCGTCGTCAACAAAGCATGCAGCACCTTGATGTATTCTTCCGCACTCGTGAAGACACCCTGTCCACCCATACAATCCTGGACTTCCTCACCATCCGCATCCTGGTATGTCATCCTAGCCCCGGTGTACCTAACCTTCCCCGACTCTTCATCTCGCACACTCATGTCCGCCATCCGCTTCTTCATGTCCGGCCGTGACCTGAGCTGAAACGTCATATCCTTGATACCGAGCGGCTCCCAGAGGTTTTGGCGCATGTACTCCTCGAGTGTCAGGCCGCTCACGCGCTCGATTAGCAGACCGGCGTAGTCGACTCCCGAGCCGTACATCCAGCTCTCTCCTGGCTCGAAAGTGAGCGGTGCATCGAAGCGCTGAAGCAGCTTTGCGCCTACACTGGGTTCCCGTCCATGGTACGCCAGCCATGCAAGCAGTTTCGGGTGCATGCCATCGTAAGTCAGACCGCTTGTGTGAGTCAAGAGTGTGCGCAACGTGATGGGCTTGGTGTGCCGCACTTCAAAAGGCTTGCCTTCGTTGTCGAAAGTTTGGAGGATCTTGAAGTCTTTCAGTTCGGGAACATGAGTGTACACCGGGTCGTCGAGTGTTAGTTTACCACGCTCGACGAGCTGTAGTGCGCAGATCGATGTCATGAGTTTGGTGCAGGATGCTACCCACATGACCGTATTGGTCTGGAGGGGTTTAGCATTCTCGGACTTCATGGAGGTGTGACCGAAGGTCTTGGTGTATTTGAACGAGCCTTGACTTGTAAGTATATGATACAAGGATAAAGGAAGAGGGGAGGTACCATCGCGATTGGTGGCAAGGAGAACGCAGCCTGGTATCTCTTGGGCGTCAACGGCCTGCTGAATTGATGTTTCGAAGTCCGCCATGATGAGGACTGGAATCTACAATGCTTTGTTGAATCGGTTGCCTTTTGCTGCTGCGCTCACACGACGAGGATTCGATTTCCAAATAATGTATTAAAGATGGTGGTTTTAATGGAGAAACACAGTACAAGTAAGAGAGTCAAGTTGAAGTATCAGCAAATGCAAGCTGACAGTCGGTGTACGTTCGTCCGTAGTCGTTCGATGTTATGTGCCTCGGCCCACACTAGTGCGGGGCTATTCATTCTAGTTGCCCGTTGCAGCCAGCTAGCACATCTCCGCATACGGGCCTTGCTTACTCCACTGCACTGACAGGCTGAGAATTTGACATATTAAAATGTGCTGACTCGAATCATGCGCAACTTCAGGTCGCCTCTTTCTATCTTCGAGTTTAATCGCGCGCACAATCTTCCAGAAGCGGATTGTGGGTTTTCTCGGCTTTATTGAAAGATGTACCTCGAGAGTCGAACTACCAATGACTTGTTACACAGGAACTCGAAGCCTTTGATAATCTTGGGCGGGCCCTGGAGGTATTCAGATTGTTTTGCTGGCCGAATAGTGGAACAGGACCGATTATCTCTATTTCTTACAAACTCCACTTCTTCAACCATTCAAGAATGATGCTTGTTGCTTCCGCCTCTTCGCACGTCAGAGCCTTCACCGTGTCGCCGTTCGGGAAAGAGCTCGGCCAGTCGTGATACAAGTTCGTGTAGTTGTAATGAACAACAGTCTCATTCCAACTGTACCTGGTCACCTTCTTGTTTTCGCTGCACAGATACGACGTCTTGTTCGCAGTGACCTGAAACCCATCCCGCTTGGCCCAGTCATCCACCCAAGTCACCATGTTCGTTGAGTTCGCGTTGCCTCGTGTGTTGATGCCACCTGCATATGGAATCGTAGTATCCTTGAAGCCGTGAAACTCCATGATGGGGATGGGATGACGGCTTGGATTGCAGGGCGGTAATTCCTGGTCGGTGCCGAGGTAGAAGGCTCCGGATACTGGTGCAAATGCAGCAATACGTTTTGTTGCTTCTGCGTCACAAGCTAGGACACCAGTAAAGCCGGCTCCATTAGATTTGCCGGCGGCATAGATCCGAGACGTGTCGATGCAGTAGGTCTTCTGGAGGTCGTCAAGGAGCTCTAGTGTGAAGGCCACATCGTTGATGGACGAGGGGAAATTTGGGTCGCCTTGCCATTGTTGGGTGCCTTTCGAGGTCTGCAAAAATGTCAATTGAGTGTTGCAGCGATATCGTCAGCAACAATGTATCTACCGGGATACCTTCTGGGTACACAGAAATCCCATCAAAGCCATACGTCGCGTTCGAGAATTGTGAGAGTTCTTCTTGAAACTTTGCGTCCTTGCCGCGCCCGTGGAAAGACAAGATCAAGGGCACCTTTTGGATTGTGTCGTATGATTTGGGCAGATGAAGACGGTACCCGCGTGTAGCCACCCCGCTCGAGCTGCTGATGGTGAGATTTACAGACTTGTCCAGTTCGATACCTTCTGGCAAAGAGCTACCGCATCCACACTTAGTGTCTTTCACAGGTGCGCAGCTGATGCCCGGCAAGGCGGCTAGGATCGCGGTGCCGAGAAGGAGTAGAGAGATCATTATGAACGATGACTAGGGTATCGATCTAGGGTTCCATCGCAACGAGGGAGCATGCTCTTAATAGGCGCGTTTACGGGCGAGCGATTAAGGCGCCCAACTTTTCGTGCTAGTCCTTGCTACCTTCCGCGAATAGGTCGGGGTGGAAGGAGCCTCAGGGACGATCAATTTGCACAAAAACTACCAAGCCGGGCGCCGAAGTGCGTGGAGCACGCAAGATGAGGAACATCATCGTGAGGCCATCTAGCAGTTGGCAAAGTGGCAAACAGCGAGGAGAACGTAACGTGAACGTAGAGGACTCCCGGATGTCGGGACGTTGCTTGTTCGCCGCTAGCAAATGAACCGTGCAGATCCCGATGACCGGTCGCACCAGCCCTCCATTCTACAGTCTGCTTTGTGGATACCATCTCGATCTGCGTCATCTCCTTCGGTGGATGAGGCTGTTTTCTCGGCCCTATGCCTGTCGATCTCCAGCCGCGGACGGTCTTTCCAGAAAATTGCTGGGCGATGCCTGTGTGTCATCTTTCGTGTGGTTGCTTACGCCGTTTTGCAGTGGAGTACCTAAATTATTTGTCGATTTGCGACACCCCGAACCCGCACCCAAATTGACATCCTTCGCCCCGTGAATCGGCAACATCATAAATCCACTTTCAATCTACGAAAAATAGGCCGACTTGCGGCAAAGCACAAGTTTAAAGTAATAAGCTCACTGGCACATGTCATGGATGGGGACTTACGACGCCAATCTCACAGGAATCCATATATGACACGGACGTTTCATTGGCGGGTGGACTTTATTTTGGCCCTGGTCTAACCACATGAGCATCTGCGGGTCGGCGACTACACCGTAGTAAGATAAGTCTGTATCTCATCTAGACCCCCTTGTGGCTCACTCCATGATCTTACGGCTATTCTCTCCACACCTCCAGTCCTTCTTACATTGTCGTCAATCCTACACGGATTTCAGCATGCTATTGCAAAGATTGTCGGGCCTGGCAGTCATCGCACTCGTCGCATCTACCGCAGCCACAAACTCGACATGTTATTATCCTAATGGTGAAAAGAACAACGGCGGAGCATGTAACGCGAATACAGAAGTGTCTATGTGCTGTGGGCCAACGTTCGTTTGCTTAAGCAACGGTCTCTGTCAACCTGGTCCGGATACCACTCGCACGTACGCATATGACTTTTACCGCAGTGGCTGCACAGATGGAAGTTTCAACTCTTCATCGTGTCCACAGTTCTGTACTAGCTGTGAGTACCTCCAGAAGTAGTTATATGGCTTGCACTGACTCGTGCATAGCGGGCTACCATAACGATCGTGGTCAGGGTGTCAAGAAATGTGGTGATAGTACTTACTGCTGTGGAGCGTCTGGAGACTGTTGCAGCGACCCGGCCAACGTCTTTACACTTGAAGCCGCGGAGGTAGTCGCCACCATATCAGCGTCGTCTGCATACATAACGTCCATTTCTGCCAACGATACGTCAACAGATGATTTCACGTCAGAGAAAAACAACCATCGTGCTTTGGCGATAGGTTTGGGCGTTGGCATCAGCCTGGGAGGATTTCTCCTGGTAGCTCTTGCGGTTTTTTACATCCTAAAGCGTAAAGCTAAGGCCAATGCCAATGCTGGCTATGAGAAAAAGGAGGAAGTTTCTGAGCTGGATGCACCATGGAAAGCTCAATTGCCAGACTCAATCTCTGCACCTACCAAGGCGGGCTATGCAGCACCAGCGGATGGGGTGGTTCACGAGATCGCGGATGGAAGGACAGAGCCATCAGTTGCACCACAAGAGTTAGAAGCGAACAATACTTATGATTGGGAACCTCGAGATGAGCCGCAGCCCCGCGATGGAGGATTTAGACCTGAGGAGCACACCGAGTATCGACCTCGGAGGTAGTTACATCGACTCTCTTACAATCAAGGAATCCGACAATAAGACAAGAAACAATACGGTGTCTATGTCCCGTTGAGCAGCACGACGATGCTCCAAATATCCTGAAGGCCTCCCGGCTATGGTGTTCTGTCGGCTTTCTCGGTTGAACAAGAGATAGCCATGTACGTACCCGCAAATGCAAACATGTGCTAACGATACCATCTGACTCTTGAGGACTGGTCTTTGATATACATTCCGAGTACCATTCTTATTCGAGGTGGAAGACACCTTGATGCCTACCAGTCACGTCTGTCTGCTAGCTCACACGCAAACCTGGGATCGAACAGCCTTGCCTGGACGCACCATTCCCAGCATGAGCTCGTGGGGTACTCAGAACGCCTGACAGCAGGTGGAGGACAGCAGGGTCTTGGAGGATACATTCGACCATCTCGAAGGAGCTGCCTGGGGTGACTGCCTTTGAGCCGCCCAACTTTGGGGCTGCGACGCCGGCGTGCGTTGCAGGGCGGGGACTTCCACGAAGGAGCTGACTCGATTCTCTTCCCGATCGGCGCCTTCTGACCACTGCCTAGGAGTGTTTGTGAGGTGTGTAGTCTTGCTTCGTCGACGTTGCAAGAGCAGGTGTGTGCCTGCTGGTGAGGGAAGCCAGTACAACGACTTTGCAGCTAACATGCCTTGAGCACTTCTGGTATGCTTCCTTGCTGCGGCGAGGCAAGGTGTTGTGAGATCAAGCTTTTACATCGATACAGCTGGCGTGTTGGCTGATTGAGGAAGAAGTGCGAGGAAAAACGGGGTGTCGCGAGTTCGAGGTGACGGAGTCGTCAAGGACAGCACCGTTATGGAGATATGAGTTAATATAGATGATTGTGTCCCTGAAATACGAAGATGTAACGTGCTTGAACTGCTTCACACCGTGCTTGTATATAACCATATAGAATCTCCCCTTAGCTATCCACTCCAGTCCGTCTAACATTTCTGACATCTCTTTCCTTCCTACGTGCATCCAACTATACCCTGAAACTTACCTTGCCAGGGGTAAAATCTCTTGATAAACCAGATATCGTTCTCCGGCGGCTTCAGATTGGGGTCAGTGAAAGCCCGACTAAAGGTCCTACCATCTGTTGAGATCCCAACCTTTTGTGAGAGAGGACATGTATCAGCTTGTCGAATGGTGACATTACATGTCGCATGTTCGTCTGTGTTCTGTGCCGAGTGAAAGTGCATGATGGACTTGCAGTCATAAACGTCGCCATTCGCTATGTAGCTTTCGGTGCCGATGGTGTAGGATTTGGCATTGAACTTAAGGTCATGTGCCGCTTCGAAGTTCTCGCATATTTGCTCGATGTTGCAATTGGCAATGTTACGACATGCAGCAGCTCAGTCCTCGTAGTCGGCAAGCTCGTCGCACTGAAAGCCAACGTACTCGTCGCCTGAGAGTCGGCCAATGGAATAACCGAAGAAGTGCAGGATGTGACCCACAAGCTACGCTGGTGCTCGTGTTTCATTCCAAGGACTGGACGATGTCAGTGTAAAAAGCGCATCAAATTTGTGAACCAATACTGTCCATGCCCACGCTCATGCGCCACGTGAGCGACGGCGTACTCGGAGATGAAGCTGTCATCGAACTCAGCCCCTAAGTTGTAGTCGAGCTCAGCATCGAAGTACATCTGATGACGAGAAGCTCCATTGTGTCTGTAGGTACATGGGCTTGCCATTACTCGTCCGGAGTTCTGCAGAACTCGCTCTTGCTGGTCGGAGGAACGAACTCCTTGATCTCGACGCAATGTGCATTGGCACTGTCAGGCTTACCAAGAGCCTCTATTTACAGTGCAACGGCCTCTTCGACATAGTCCTGGAAATGTTCTGTCATGCTGTGGGCATTGTAGCAGTATGTGATGTCACAACGACCGTCTGAACCACGGCGCCAGGTCGAAGCCCAGCCGTGGACGTTCTCAGCGTACCCCTGATCAATGTTGCCAGCAGTGTCAGCAATGACAGCTGTGAAGTTGTCCTAGGGTTTAAGGCGGGGGGCGCACGCGCCCAAAACCAATATGGCACGGCTGAAGAACAGCCAGAAAACGAAAGTTGAGTGCATATCGGTCAAGTTTAATTGGGAAAGCAGAAGTCGAGGAGTTGCCTCGCACAAGACGGTGGCCACAGTGAGACAATACAAAGGGAGCGTCATATATAAGTGAAGGGACATGCGGCCGATGGCCCCCCTAACCTCTTTGAAAAGCCCGGATGGACTGAACATTCTTGTCTGTTCCCCGAAAACTTAAAGGTTCCATGGCCGTGAGAGTTCGAGTGAAGGAATGCTCCTTTCCTGTCTATGAAGGGTGTATCGCACTGATTGATGTCAGGTCCAATCTCAACGACTTGCAACGCCACAACATAAGACCACTCTTTGTGGACACACTGAACGCCTCCCGGCTTTGCAGAGATAGATTGAGAGAACTCGCAGAATCAAAGTCCCACGCGTTGCTGTGCTGTGTTGGTCTGCCCAAATTCCTTGCTGGGTGTTGGTGCGTCTTTAAGACGAGCCACTTCGTACAGAACGTGAACTACCGAAACCTCAGCAATGCAGTTGTCACGAGCTCTCATGCCCGAACACAAGTGAGAGGTAGCAGGTAACAGCCCATACGATGCGCCAAACGGACAGATCCGCAGCAAACCTTGGAAGCTCTGAGCACACTGTAACTGCACTGGCGGCCTGACATTGGGCAACTTACGCCCTCACGTTGGCGTGCACCGAGGTTCGTCGCATCTAAATTGAGAGGTGGAACCGGCTTGTGCTGTCAATAGAAGCGAGCAGCGCAGACTCGGTGGCAGAGGGCACATGTAGCCTATGTTAATAAGACTGCAAGAGGGTAAGCGATTGCTATGGTCGAGTGTTGGTTTCGCTCAACCCCTGACAGGGAAGGCACAAGCCCCACGTGGTCGCTGGGGCGCATTTGTCCATGGCACGATTATTGCTCTTGCTCTTCCTCCACCCCTAAACACACTCATCAATTGTAAACATAAGTCAAACACTTCCTCGATTACTCATCAAATCAGCAAAAACATCTGCAAATCCCCCGTGGCGCAATGGTCACCGCGTCCGACTGTTACCGCTCGACGGCACATCGGGAGATTGGAAGTTCGATCCTTCCCGGGGGAGTTATCTTTTTTGCCCATCTCTTTCTCTTTTGCATCCTGGAAGTTCTTCGAGTGCTCCGACGCACCTATCCGCGTACTTGTTCGGCATCAAACAATCCGGCTCTTTTGCATCTGATCATGGCTGCCTCTTGTACACCTATAGCACTGTTGCTCAATATGATCCAGTACTTGTTAACTCTTATGGTTACGGTCGATTGTGCAGGTGAAAGTGTGCTAGCTGCAGCGGATCGACTCAAGGCTTGCGTCGAAGGGCTATGGATGCTAGTGAGGGTCTTTAACGAACGTTTGATGAGCACCAAATACTGCAGTCTTTATCTCACCACAGCTCTTGTGTGCAAAGAACAAAGGTGAGTGAGAGTGGATGATGTTGTCGTCTGGCAACGAACGCGCCGTTCTAACGAAGATCATTGCATTGCGCTAAGGTCTGGCGTGAGCTAGCGCCTTCTTCTTTCGTCACCGTTCTACCGTGGTTCCATCATCGTAAAAGTCAGGTAACGAGCTGCATGGTATAGATCAGGGTGCAGGCTGCGGAATCATGACGAGAATCGCGGTAAAGATATGTAGGTAGTGAATTCACATTGCATTGTACGCGTTCCAAGAATAAATGAGATGACTATTTCGATCTGAATGCGGCCAGCCGTGCGACTTGATTGGCCCGCACCTTCCAGGGTTCGCACGCAAAGGCTGCCCCTTGTTGCGCGCCCCTCTGCAACCTCAACAAACTGCCTATCACCCACCCCATCAGCACCTTTTCACGCCAAAACGCACCCACAACCATCAAAGTCCATCACAAGCATCTCGGAACTGGATGCGTTGGACTTTACGAGTATTTTGACACCCATATCGACATTATTGCGACGCGTTTTTGTCGCGAAACAGCGTTGCGCAGGCCGAGAGGCCACCTGGCCGAAAGGGCTGCCCGGCAGAGTCTGCGCCGGTCACGTGCTAAGTTTCGACTGCCAAACGCAGAGCTGAAGCAACATGACGCAACGCGTTACTGGCCAGCGCTTTCGCCAGCGCAAATTATCTACGAAGCAAAATATACCTGTATTGCGCGAGCATGAGGTCGAAAAGCTCGATGATGATGAAGCGTCGCGGCATATCCCGAAGGTCGAAACTGGTGTTGAGAAAGGAGAGGAAATTGTAAGCCCTACCACTAGTCGCTCTAGGCATTCACTCTCGGAGTGCAATCATTGTCACCGCGATGCACTTACCTTGCACATCATTTATCGCATCGCAACTCGCTGCAGAGACTTACCTTCATCCACATTCCAACGCGCAGTTGCTGACCACATCGATAGGAGCATCATTTGCAAGCCGTCATCTCTGCGGCGCAGGCGGCAGCCCAAGGTGCTACCGGCGGTAAGATCGCTCAACTGTACATCCCCACACCAGAAGCAACTGCAAGTCATCTGCAGTACGATGACTTGTATCCAAAGCATTTCACGCAGCCTGCGACCTACATCCGGTTCTCTTCTACCGTAGAAGATACTTCAGGATGTCCGTACTGCATGACTAGTGATGATGCCGCATTCCTCAAGGCGTACAACCAGAAGAAAACCAAGGGACCCCATTGTTCCGAGGATGAGTTTGAGGAGGTCATGAACTTCTTCGAAGAGACCGCTCAGATGAAACAGCCATTTTCTGCCGTTGGTGATGCCCCAGTACTGGCATACGAAGACTTGGAATCGGATTTTGACGAGACGATTGGTGAGGGAGCGCGAAGATTTGCCAAAGACATCTACCCGCATTGGAAGAACCAAAGACTGCTGAAGGGCAACCGCCTATTACTCCCATCGCTGAAGTTCGAAACAAATCTCGAGACCGATGAGGCAGATCCATATGTCTGCTTCAGACGCCGTGAAGTGCGGCAAGTCCGCAAGACTCGAGGACGAGATGCGCAGGTGACCGAGAAGCTGAAGAAGCTGCGAAACGAGCTGGAACAGGCAAGGTTCTTGATGGCTCAAGTGAAGCGGCGAGAAGCACTGATGAGGGATTCGCTTGCGAACGACAAGCAGATCTTCGAGCAGCGGCACGCTGTTAAGGAAATCAAGAGAAGACTCAGCATCAAGGCCGATGATGAAGAACTCTTGATCACCCAGAAGGTGGGTTGCCGAAACGTCCTCGAACAGTTCCAGAATGAGACTGACATATCACAGCCTGCGCCTAAGCCTAAGCCAAGACCTGACCTCGAGAGAGTCCGCCAGAACATCCCTGGTATGAAGCCTCAGGTCACCCGTGCAGATGGCCGTCTTGTCGATAGCGACCTTGTATATCTCGAGGAGCAGCAGGCGAAGAAGACGGAAGCAATCGACACCTTCATCGAGGACAATCTCGTTAAGCATCAGAAGTGGAACGTCGGTTGGGTGGACGCAACATGGCGACCAATCACACCACCGCTGGAGCAGGCTGCTGCGAAATCGGACTTCCGTACGGTCTTCACAGAATCGCAGCTGCCTACTCCTCCAGCATCCGTTTCAGATGATGAAGGTGCTGACTCCATGGCGGTAGTGCGTACAAATGCGCCGGACACACCACGTCAAAGTACGCGGATACGTTTCAGTTCGCCTCCAGATGACGTTCCGTTCCAAGATCAGTCTCGTTACCGAAGACGCATTGGACGAGGTGGTCGTGTGATGATCGACCGGCGTGGCGTCAAACGCCAGAAGCTCGAAAGCAGTCAGCTAGACGAGCGTATTGCGGATCGATGGAAGTATTCCGGAGATAGTAGTGAGGATGAGCAGATGTATCCTGTCGATTGGACAGACAATCTGCACATCAGGTATCGTATCATGATCGAGCGCCAGGGTGAGAAGCAACATGCTCAGCAAGCAGCAGGCGCCGCGCGGAAAAGTATTGAAAACAACAACCGATCCGCATCCGGTCACCTCATGCCGCCAACAGCAGCGCCTGGCCCAAGCTCGGCCCCGTAATCCTTCTCTTTCAGCAGCTTCTTGACGACGATACGTGTTGGTTTGTGGCGAGATATACCCTTTGATTCTTATTCGCGAATTGATCCAGCAGGAGAAGCGGATCTACCAGATATATGTACAATACTCGGCGGTCAGGGTTGCGGAGTCGGGAAGACCGGTGGTGGTCTCTGGATAGTCATTAGCGGTCTGTCCCGGTCGTTCTTGGATATGTATAATACCTGCAATACAAGGCTACACAAGGCGCCGTAATGAGCACCTATTAAAAGAAAGCAGAAAACTTACCATGCCACTACTGTCATTGCGTTGCTGCTTTGATAATCTGTTGAATTCGAAGTCACAGATGTTGCCGCCACCGGGTTGTCGAGGGAAAGCTGCGCCGCTCATGCTCTTTGCCGTTTCCCAGTGCCACCCATTTCCACATCCCCTTCTTCATCAACGTCTCGTGGTCTTTTTGATGCACCTCCTTCTCTTGCAACTTTCTCGGCCAGGGCGTCTTCCACCTGCTTCAGCAGTCTCTTCTCTCCGATTCGGACTGCCTTAGCCATCGCAAATCGTCGCTCTTTCGAGCCATGTCCGCCTACATTTGGTATTCCGGTAAAATCGCGGACATCGTCATCAAGGCTTGAAGCATATTGTGCGAGGCGTGTCTGAACCAGTCTATGCAAGAACTCGGTGCCTTTGCTCGTCATCCTTTCGGGTTTTGGTAATTTGCCCTTCATTTTGAGATGCTCAAACTCTTCATCAGGCAGCAAAAGAGTCTCGACAAGTACAACGAGCTCAGGAGACAAGCTCTCCTGTAGTGTGAATGGGTCGCTGACAGTGATATCGTAGCCAGTGTCAATGACCTCTTTTTCATCAAGGTACTCGATCCGCGCCTCGGAGTAAATGCTGGCTGTTGTCGCAAGATCGGTTACAAGGTCCATGGAGACCTCCACAACGTCGTATTGGGCGTAGTTGTCGGTGATGTAGCCATAGCGCCTGAGCAGGTCAGAGCGTGGGAGGGGTCCGTAGTCGTTGTAGATCTCGTCGCCAGCACGGATCGGCTTCAAAGCCTTCATGTCTAAGGAGTCGGCCTCATAGAAGAGGCGAGCGTTGTTGCGGTCTGCGTCAGCATTCAGCATGTCTGCCAAGGGAACCATTCCTTTTGGAAGCGCCTCATCCTCATCTTCAGAAGCATATCCTTCCTCGTCGACGTCCTTGTGTGAGACCGAAGGCTCGACGTCGAAAGCGTATGCCATGATCAGCGAGCCCATGCGGTGCATCAGAGTGAGGTTGCGCTCATCACGCATTTCCTCCGCCTTTTGTGGCGCACGGTCGTCATCTGCGAAGAAGACGTGTGCAAATTCCTTGATCACTGGGATCAGCTGCTCAAGAAACATCTCATTTGCGCTCTCTTTTCCAATCTTGTTCACGACAGCACTGGCCTGCAACTCAGCGAGCTCGTCCTCGGTCCAGTACATGAGGGTCTCGAATTCGGAGGGCAGGACAGAGAAGCACGCAGCCCAGTTGGAGGCATCGCCGTTGAGGTACTCATAGAGCATGACGAGAATGAGAGAGAGCCATGGGCCTAGCGTGTCGAAGGTAGCGGCGGGGATCTCCTTGGACAGGATCGAGTTCTCGACGCTGAGAATTGCTGAGCGGGGAATACGAAAGAGGAGCTCGTGCTCGGCGATGTCCTGTGTAGCAACTGGTCATAGTCAGTAAGCGATTCCTCCAAAAGACTGCAAAGCATTATTCTTGTGAGACCGGTCGGTCCACATGGACTCTGACCGCCTCTAAGTGTCAGAAAACGGCCACTTACCGACGCCTCTCCCGGCTTGCGCATGTCGAAGGTCTTCGAGTTTGATCTTTGGACTGATCTCCGCTCCAGACTGCTGTAACCACGACAGAAATGCCTGACCGGCGCCGTCAAAGTCGGCCATGTTCGAATGGGTAATGAGCGTTGTGTTTGGTGAAGTGGAGGTTGGAAATGTGATGGATCGTTAGCGGCGGCCGTCAAAGCAGGGCGAGCCGAGATTGTTCCTCATTGGCCGAATGCTGCCAGCTTCAAGTCTACACCTTCTGGGCAAAGACGTTGGCACCTCGAAAGCTCAAACATCAATTTAAGTTCGTCAGGTAGAGACTTCCTGTAATTCAGCTTCGAGGAAAGGAGAAATTGGCAGCAGTGTCAGCTCGAAGTCTGTGTCACCAAGCTCAGACCTCGGGGCCTTCAAGTGAGGTTTGTGTAGCAAGGGTAACCCTAACGTGCGAACGTGCTCAATTTCACACCTTCACATCAGGTCGTTACTACCATGGAGGTACGCCGTATGTAACTATTGTATCTGTGTACTCGAACAGCTCAATTGCGATCAGCCTTGCTTTTAGCCCTATGAACGCTTCTGAGATTTAGAGTTCCATATCGATATCGGCCTTGGCAACGTTCTTTCCACCCCGCCATCTGTGAATCTTGAACGCGTCTGAAGACTAAGTCTCACAACACATACATTCACAATGATCGCTATAGGGTTAGAGGGCAGTGCCAACAAGATTGGCATTGGTATTGTATCCCATCCAGAGCCCAACAAGCCTCCCATTGTCCTTTCAAACTTGCGACACACATACAATTCCCCACCAGGCGAAGGCTTCCTTCCAAAAGACACAGCACTACACCACCGAGCATGGGTTGTACGGTTGATCAAGCAGGCCGTGAAGCAATCTGGTGTTAAGATTGAGGATATCGACTGCATATGCTACACCAAAGGGCCAGGAATGGGCGCACCACTGCAGAGCGTGGCGCTTGCAGCACGAACTATCAGTTTGCTCTGGAATAAGCCTATGGTGGGCGTGAATCACTGTGTTGGACGTCAGTACCCGCCAAATCTATAAGCATGGCACTCAGAGCTGACAAGCCGACAGACATCGAAATGGGCCGTTCAATAACTCACGCTGACAACCCTGTCGTCCTCTATGTCTCTGGCGGTAACACACAAGTCATTGCCTACTCCGCACAACGATACCGTATATTCGGTGAGACCCTCGATATTGCGATAGGGAACTGCATAGATCGGTTCGCACGTACGCTTATGATACCCAACAACCCTTTCCCCGGATACAACGTCGAACAGCTGGCAAAGAAAGGCAAAAATCTTGTAGACTTGCCATATGGTGTGAAGGGCATGGATGCAAGTTTCTCGGGGATATTGGCGGCGGCTGATCTCCTGGCACGAGGGCTGGACGAGACGCTGCCTGATGAGAAGAGGCTTAAGACTGAGGATGGAGAGCTGGTGACAAGAGAGGATATGTGTTTTTCGCTGCAAGAGACAATCTTTGCTATGTTGGTCGAGATCACAGAACGCGCCATGGCTCACGTTGGGTCACAACAGGTTCTGGTTGTGGGGGGTGTTGGATCGAATGAGCGATTACAGCAGATGATGGGCATGATGGCACGAGATCGAGGAGGCAGCGTCTTTGCGACTGACGAGCGGTTTTGCATCGATAATGGCATCATGATCGCACACGCTGGACTGCTGGAATATTCTACAGGTATCGTTACGGTCCTAGAGGACACAACATGTACACAGAGATTCAGGACCGATGAAGTTTTTGTAGGGTGGAGGAAGGATTGAGGCATGAGCGAGGTACGCAACTTCACTTGAAATGATACCCCGTTTACGATATGCCAGCCACGTCGAATAAATGCCTGGTCCTTCCCCGATCGACATGATCCAAAATGTTGATAAACACCTTCCTTCGCTGTCTGAGCAGTGCGCGATGGGTCGTTGGTGAGATAGGAAGTTTCAAGTGGCGGACTTCGGGTACATATCTACGACAGAACATCTCTGCCCCGACCTCGCACCGAGAAGGGCATGGACTATGGATGGGAGTCTGATAGAATCCCGTGAGGCGTTCACTGATGACCCGAGGCTAGTCTAGTGTCGCATTGTGGTTGGCTCGCTTGTGCCACGATCCCTGCCTGCAGCTGCAGCAACTCGTCTCATCTCTGGCCCCGACATCACCACTTGCACCAAACTCCCGGCACGGGCATTTGACAGTATTGTCATTGCAATTGCTTTCACTGGGCCATGATGTTGAGCCTCACTGTCTCTAGCATATCCCGTTGACCAGGCTGCTGGTCAAGCTACCCGCTCTGTCGGTTGTGGTGACTGAAAGGTGTTACTTAAACCCTGATAGTTGTGTCACCAGTTCATGTCAGATTTCCAGTAGAATACTGGGAGGCTTTCTATATGATATTCCGGCGATGTGTCGATCTTCAAGGTAACCGGCTATATTCGCACATTAATCCCGCAGGACGACCAAAGCTGCGCAGCCTTGTGTATTCTCACGTCCTCAACTCAAGCGTTTCATCGTGCGGCCAATCAGATCGGGCTGATCTACTACCGCTAGCTAACCATAGCCATTGCTATTCCTGGTCATGAACAGGGGTACTTCTAGTCCCCCGGTTTCAAGTACCTCTCTCGACGGGCCATGTGTATAGACCACCGACGGACTCAATACCCAGTGCACAAGCCCGGTATTTGTATTCGAGTCCCTCTTCCTGCCGTGGAAGCACGATCAGTCTACTTGAAAGACTTAATTCAACGGTCCAGACCCACTACTTTCGAGCCAGACACCATAGCGGACCTCCGCATCGAATCACAAGCGTCTACCGGGGCCACGATGGACGCAGATAGAAGGCTCACAAAAGCTCTGGAAGCGGCTAATGATGCGCTCCAGCATCTATCTATGTCGCCTGACTTCTCCTGTCTCGACTGCACTCACATTGATCGTTTGATCGGGAGAGTTGTCGACCTACCAACCGAAGGCAATCAGAGAAATAGCAGGCGCAACCTTCTAGTTATAAGGCAATGGATGATTACAGAAGGGCCGGGAGTCGTACTACTGGAAGTTCTTGGGCAACTTTACTGGCGGTTGGGCGAGCTCAATAGCAAGCAGTTCGAGAAGTTCAAGATGGCTCTCCAGCAGCAACAGCCATATTTGTCACTTATTCAAGACACTGCCGCAGTCACCTTGGTACTTCAGAGACTGCAACATATCCAACGGTTGAAGGCGGAAGCGTGCCAGGATTTCCTCTGCGAACTGTCTGACTTGACAGGGATGAAAGGCAAGTCTGTAGTATCGACGATTCGATAGCGAATACTGACTCGAATAGTCGACTCACAAATGGCTGAGGTGGATGCCTCAAGATCGAGATCCAGTAGCCCATTTTCTCCGGCGTCTGTGCAGTCTTCAGACAGTACTTCGTCCCAAGAGACCGGCTATGTAAGCCTGATCAAGTATGTGCCCTCAGCCACTGCATGGTCAGGCGACATTGAACAGCTCCTTATCGACTTCTACGTCAATGGGATCTGTCCTGGTCGCACGGTTGCTACCCAGTCGAATGGCTACCTATCTTTGCTCCAAGTCGCGAATACCTGCCTGAGCACACGATATGCTCTTCTCAGTCTATCTGCATCATACATCAGCGAGTACCTCCCTTCGCAAAAGGATCTCTACCACCAGGCAGAATTGTACTATTCAACACAAGCTCTCCAAGCTCTTGCAACGCAAATCACCAATGGCGATGATTATGAGGGTGCGCTCGCTACTAGTATGCTGCTCATGCATCATGGCGCTATCAACAACTCTCCAGACTCGCCCCTATGCTGGTCTTGTCACGCAAACGTATTCAACATCATCCCAGACAACTCGGTCAATCACCAATCAGACTCAGCGCTGTTCATTCGCGGACAGCTTACTCTCGCTCGCACCGCACAGACCTCGCAATCACTTCGATCTACACAGTTTCACTCGCTCGAGACCAAGACTTGGTATGACGGCACCCCGCCCAGCGATGCTCAGAAGATTTGCGGAATTCTTGGCTTCTCACCACAACTGCTGTTCATCATCTCATCCATCACGTCGCTAGCGTTAGACGCCAGTAACATCAACATGCTCATGTATGCTCAGCTACAAGAAGCAAAACTCCAACACCTGAAGCAATGGACTGCGGAGCCTCAAGGTATTGAACAGGAGATATTGCTTGCTACAGCAGAGGCCTTCCGTCTGGCAGCGCTGATATACCTGCGCTGCCGTCTGTACGGGTAAGTCACTTGGCTCATTTAGCATGTTCGTCTCGAATCACAACTGACAAGTGCAAGTATGACGCGTTTCCACCCCTCCATCCTCGACCTCTCCGACGCTCTTCACACTCTCATTCTCTCCCTCCCGGTCAAAGGCGCACTCTACACAGCCATCTATCCTGTGTGGCCGGTCTTCGTAGCCGCCGTCACTGTAAACTCGGACAAGCGCGACCATCTGTACCAACGCGTTGTACCCATCCGAGAAGGCGATAAGAACACATTACCGGCGGTGCTGAAGCGCATAAGTGGCATGCGAGTCTGTCTTGCACAACAGGATCTGACTTGTCAGAGGCGGGACGGCTGGTGGGATGAGATGTTGAGTCCAAGTAGTAGTACGACTGCGCTGGGAAGGAATCTGCTGTGCTTAGGTTGATCGGCAGTCAGCGATGTTTTGATGCGGATGTTTAAAAAGGCGTTTGGCTTTTGGAGTGGATGCACATTCCCTTTCGTTTTCAGTACATTTGTCTTCTCGCACTTTGCATCCACCTCTATACCCCTAGATCTCTCCGTTTCCATCATCGCTTCGGGTTCTACCATTTTAGAGCCAAGACAAATATATGAATCTTTGCGCGTATCAAGTCCTGGGAATGCGCAGCTTCCACCATCTGCAATAACCCGCATTCTCTTACCATCATGCTTGACTGGACCAAACCACTGTCAGCATTTGCAGTTGATGAAGAAAGTTGCGTTGCTGTGCCGTTACTGTCGACCAAGTCGTGTCAGCCAATCACGCTGCCGTCTGACCGTACGGTGCTGCAGCTCCGACCGTACGGACGCCGTACCAACATCCTTATGTTGCTGCGCATAATTTACACCTCTACTCGGAAACCGGTATAGCAAAGACGTTCGCCGACCGTTTTCGAGCTCAAGAACTCGGAAGAACTGTGAAAGCTTACACCGCAGCGTGTCTACGCCGTGCGTGTCTTGCGGCCATGATAACCGCAGTCAGCGAAGCCTTGCAGGTCAGGATGATAGAGGTAATCGAGTGGTGTGTATAAAGATACACAGCAGCCAATCCCAAATGGAGCATCAGAGGCATTGTCTTTAGCCGCAGCAACGCTGATTCCACTTCGCTTTCCATCTGCGTCTCCTCATAGCTAGCGATACCAACTGCTCAACACCATCAAAAAAAAACCAAATCATCCCAATGTCTTCAGACATGTCTTCCACCATCCTCTCTTTGCTCACCAGAGCATTCGACCAGAACGGCATCGACCCCGACAACATCAACGTGACCACTACCGACCCCATGGAGATCGCCATGTCCCGCAAATACTGCAAAGTGGGCACATGCCCCTCATCATGGCAAACCATCGAATACCGGCCCAACATTGCCGGCAACGCCATGTACATGACCTGCTTCATCCTTCTCCTGCTCGCTCAAGTCTGGTTCGGCATCCGCAGCAAGACATGCAAGTACACGGCCACCATGTGCATCGGTATCCTCGGCGAGATCGTGGGATATGCTGGAAGGGTCATGCTGAACGTGAACCCCTTCCTGATGAACAACTTCCTGGTGTGAGTCTGCAAGATGCCCAATGCGGGAGGCAGACAGTCAACTGACATCGCCAGCAACCTCATCCCTCTAACCATCGCCCCCGCCCTCCTCACCGCAGGCATCTACCTCTGCCTGACCCGTATCATCGTCGCCACCGGCGCAGAAAACTCGCGCATCAGACCCAGGATGTACACCTACATCTTCATCGGCTGCGATCTGCTCGCCCTGGTACTTCAAGCCATCGGCGGCGGTCTGGCTGCTACCGCGAAGGATAAGAGGGGGTCTGATCAGGGTGTGCGTATTATGATTGCGGGTCTGATCAGTCAAGTTGTTACCATGGTGCTGTTCATGGCGTTGTGGCTTGACTTTGTCTTGCGCACCAGGCGAGCGAAGAAGGACGGGGGGTTGGAGTGGGTGCAGCCGCCACTGTACGAGGGTTTGCGAGGACGGGGGAATTTGAAGTACTTTGAGTGGAGTGAGTTACTCCGACGCCTGGCCAGAGAGATCTTTACTGACTTCACTAGGTCTGTTTGTCGCCACGGTCCTCATCTTCGTCCGTTGCATCTACCGCGTTGCTGAGCTGTGGGAAGGTTTCAGCGGCCATCTCGCGAACCACGAGGCTAGCTTCATGGTCTTGGAGGGGCCTATGATTATCCTTGCTGTCGCTTGCATGACCGTATCCCACCCCGGACGCGTGTTTGGTGAGTTGTGGGGGCCTGCTGGACAGGGTGAGAGGGCTAGCAGTAAACTTGCTGGGGAGGGCAGTGAGGTGAGCCTCAATGCAAGCTACCCTTACGAGGGCGCGTAGTAGAGTGGACCCAGTCGGTCAAGACGAGTAGCGTGAGTGTATGCGAGGAGGATAGAATATCTGATGTTACAAGGAAATAGTATAGATAGGATACAAGAGGTGTGCAGACTGTGCATCACGCACCATCACCAGCCGATGCCCATGGCGTTCCGTATCCTCTGCATCGTGGACTCGGCCATCGCTTCTGCTTTCCGAGCGCCACTCTCGGCGTGTGATATGAGCTTCTTCTGGTCTCCGCTCATAAGTTCTTCGTATCGTTCCCTGATAGGCTTGATGCTCTTGTCCACCGAGTCTGCGGCCTTTTCTTTCAAAGCACGCATACTCAAGCCCTTCAGGTCCTGTGCCAGCTCTTCAGGCGAAGCAGCGCCCGCCTGGTCAAAATGATGTATCAGGTCGACCAAGTTGGACACGCCTGGCCTTGCCTCGCGGTCGTAGCTCACGCCCTCGATGGAATCGGTGAGGGCAGATCTGAGCTTGCTGTGTATGGTCTCGCGGGAGTCGGTGATCAGGATGCGGCTCTTGGGCTTCGGGTCGCTCTTGCTCATCTTCTTGGTCGGCTCTGCCAGGCTCATAACACGCTTCGCAGCGCTCAACTGTGTCTCCGGCACCGTGAGGAGCGGGCCGTAGAGGTGGTTGAAGCCGGTTGCGAGCTCGCGCGTGAACTCGAGGTGCTGCGCCTGGTCTTCGCCAACGGGGACGTGGGTGGTGTTGTACAGCAGGATGTCGGCGGCCTGCAGGACGGGGTAGGAGAAGAGGCCGAGCTTGAGCTGGTCCTTGGACGAGGCCAGGGGCAAGGCACTGTCAGGCAGCTGGAGTTTGCTCTTCCACTGTGTCATCCGGCCGAGGTAGCCCATGGAGGCGCCGCAGCTGAGGATCCACATGAGCTCTGCATGCTGCCGCACGCTGCTCTGCGCGAAGACGACGCAGCGCGCAGGGTCGAGGCCGACGGCAAGCAGGCTGGCGAGCATCTCGCGGCGCCATTGCTGCAGATCCGCCGGATGCTGCTTGATGGTGATGGCATGCAGGTCCACGATGGAGAAGAGCAGCGTCGTGTCGGGCGCGGCTTCCTCCTGCAGACGCACCCACTGTCGAAGGGCGCCCAGGTAGTTGCCGAGGTGCGGCACGCCGGTGGGCTGGATGCCGGAGAAGACGACTTTGCGGAGTTGCGGCGCGGTCGCGAGGCGGCGGCGGCAGCCAGGTGCGAGGGCGCGATAGGCGGCGCATCGCGCAGCTATCGAGGGCGGGCGCAGAGACAGCATTGGAGAGCTCTCGGCGCGCGGTGACTGTGGGACGCGATGCACTCAGCCACACTTCACTTCGGAACGCACAGCCGGCGTCATCGCGCGCCGCAGCCAGGATCGGATCCAGGAACACCTTCATCTCCCCCGCGCTGCCCGCAACAGCAACAATCCACGCACCAGCCACACCTCGACTCTGCTGCACACCACCGCCCACCACCGCCCACCACCGCCCACCGCCGCCTGCCACCGCCTGCCACCGCCTGCCACTGCACCCCTCCGCACCCCTCCGCACCCCTCTTCTACCGCACACGAGCCCGCCGTCGTCCGTCGCCATGTCGTGGACGGGGTTCAAGAAGGGCGTCAACCGCGCCACGACGCAGGTCCTCATGAAGACCGGCCAGGTCGAGCGCACCAACGACCGCGACTTCGAGACGGAACAGCGCCGCTACCGCACCATGGAGACGGCCGCCAACAAGCTGCAGAAGGAAGCCAAGGGCTACCTCGACTCCCTGCGCGCCATGACCGCCTCGCAAATGCGCATCGCCGAGACCATCGACGCCTTCTACGGCGACGCAGGCACCAAGGACGGCGTGTCGCGGTCGTACAAGCAGGCCGTCACAGACCTTGACGCAGAGACCATCAAGGCGCTCGACGGCCCCTACCGGACAACGGTCCTCGACCCCATCCAGCGCTTCTGCAGCTACTTCCCCGACATCAACGCCTGCATCACCAAGCGCGAACACAAGCAGATGGACTACGACCGCATGCGCGCCCAGGTCAAGAAGCTGACCGACAAGCCCGACAAAGACGTCACCAAGCTGCCCCGCGCGGAGAAGGACGAGCAGCTCGCCAAGGCCGCCTACGACCAGCTCAACGAGACGCTGACAAGCGAGCTGCCGCAGCTTATCGATCTGAGAGTGCCGTACCTCGACCCCAGCTTCGAGGCCCTGGTCAAGATTCAGTTGCGGTTCTGTGCCGAGGCGTACTCGAGAATGGCCCAGGTACAGCAGTATCTTGATGCAAATACAAGAGACCAATACGCCCAGGGCGAACTGGACGCCAGGGTGGAGGAGGTGCTGCAAGAGATCCGGGATCTGAGTATTGCGGGCACTGTATAGATGGGGTGGGTAATGGCATGGAACGGCGTTATTCTTGGATTGACTTCGTTACCAACGTAGCTTTTTTGAACGACTCCAATTTGCTCTTCAACCGTGCCTCTCCCTGAACGCCAGCAATGCTTGTGAGGCGTCCGACCCCAATGCTTACTACTCCCGCTCCCACTCCGGCTCCAGGTCCTTGCTCATGTACGGTCCGTCAAGGTAGTAGCCCAGCTTTGCATAGTAGCTCCTCACGCCCACCCCAGAGATGACACTGATCTTCCTGCTGCCGTGCTCCTCCGCCGCAATCCTCGCCGCCTCCTCCATCAACAACGTTCCATACCCCTGATGCTGAAACTTCTTCGGATCTCTAGCATGCACCGGTACCGCGCTACCGTACACATGCAACTCCCTCACCAAGCTTGTCGGCTGGCCCGTCAACTCCTCGCGGAACGTGTGCTCCTTGGAGCACTGCCTCAGCCGCAGCAGGGCGATTAGAATGTCCTGCTTAGGATCCTCGTACGCCAGGAACGTCTCCCATCCACCGTTGGCCGTGTAGTCGCGGCGCACGAGCTCGACCTGGTCGGGCCGGATCTTGTGCTTCACTTCGTTGATGCCGACTTCGCGCGTTCGCACGTCGCGGCATGTGGTGCCGAAGTCTTTCATGCGCGCCAGTGCCAGCTCTCTCAAGTTGCCGTTCTCAACACCAGAGGTAACGAGCGGCATCGGGATATCGCGCTGCACGCGGTAGATGCGCGTCCACGGCGGTACGAGGGCCAGGATGCGGGCCACGATGTCGATGAGCGCGTTGGGCGTGTAGTTCTTGTACCGTCCTGTTCGCCAGAGCTCGTAGAGTCCTGTGCCGCGGATGACGAGGGTAGGATAAATTTTGAGCCCGTCGGTGCGGAAGTCAGGGTTCGCAAAGTATTCGATGAATTGGTCGAGGTCGCGCTCCATGCCGACGTTGGGCAGGTCGGGCATCATGTGCGATACCACTTTGAACCCGGCGTCTTTAGAGAGGCAGAAGGTCTTTGCGACGGCGGCGACGGTGTGACCGCGGTTTGTGTCGCGCGCTACGTCTTCGTAGAGAGACTGGACTCCGATCTCGAGACGTGTGCAGCCGTACCGAAGCATTGAAGACAGGTGCTGGTCCAGGCAGTAGTCCGGTCGTGTCTCAATGGTGATACCCACGCACTTGGTATTGCTCATCTCGCCAGCCGCAACGGCTTCATCCACGTCCTTCGTTTGGTACCCAGACAGTGCGTTGTGAAGCTGTGAAATGAACTCATCCCGGTACGACTCTGGCAGCGACATGAACGTGCCGCCCATAATAATGTACTCAACCTTATCAACACTGTGACCAAGCGACTTGATCTGGTCAACACGACCTCTCGCCTGCTCATAAGGATCATAGCGCGCTCGGATGGCCCGCATAGACGTCGGTTCATATCCTGTGTAAGACTGTGTCGAGTACTCAAAATCCGAGTCTGGGCCTCCAGGACAGTAGACGCAGATATTTCCTGTGTATGCAATGTGCGGGCAGCGATGCGGCTTGCACATCACCGCCACGACTGCAATACCCGATGCACTTCCTACAATGCATGTCAGTATAGGATCCGATGCTGACCAATCAGAATACTCACGAATCGGCTTCGCAATCAACTTCGGCAAAATATATTTCTTGTAGTGCTCGGGCACCGCTGCGATAATCGCTGTGAGCGGCGGTTGGGTCTTCAGGTAATGTCTTTTTGCGATTTGGCCTCTCAGTTGGTTCAAGTTGAGGTCCTTCTTTGGCTTCGAGCCATCAGCTTGGGCCTCATAATCCTGGACGAGCGCGGAGGCAATGTCGGCGCATGCGCGCATGTATCGCTCATTCTCTGGCGGTAGCTTGATGTTCTTCGGTAGCCGCCTCTTAACAGGTATGTCCATGTATGTCATCGTTGCGGTCGCCATGGTGGGCTATTCCTTTGTTGTTGCGTATGGTTTTCCTGATGGCGATTCTCGAAGTCGAAGTTAGGACTGTCTGTGGAGTCATTCAACTAGGCTTGATACGGCACTAGCGCCCCTCTGGCCATCTACTGAGCTCCAACTTTGCTCTACTGCGAGTGTCTAAGACTGTGGATGTGTCGAATGTGAGCTGCTCTATCATTTTGCTGCGCATGATCAAACTTTGTGATCTAGCCTCACTCATGACTGTGAGGTTGTAGTCTTGCAATATGCATTAGAACTCACTTTACACAAAATTCCTCAAGAGCGCACCGCACTCTCGCTTGCATCAGACTCATCCTATCAAGATGCACACAGTACGACACTGATAGAAACAAAAGTGCCTGTAGACGTGGCGATATGTCAAGCTGTTCCGAAGTCACTGCTCATCCTTGAACCAGTATTTGCTCAAGGAATCGCAGAACGAACAATCGCACTAGCAAAAAGATGCTGTGTCCGGCACGACAAGGAGATCAACTCTCCCTGCTGAAAATGCTCGAGCGCAAAAAGGAATGGTCACTACGAGGGTCGAACTCGCGACCTTGGCGTATCAAGGATGAAAGCTATTAGCACCACGCTCTAACCAACTGAGCTAAGCGACCAATTTGTTGTTTGGATGGAAAATATAAGCCTAGCGATGTTTATTATGCCAGCTTAAAAGATATCAACAGCATGAGGGGTGAAGGTTCGGTGGGCGGAGGTGGGATTAATTATTAAACTCACTGTCGCCGATTCCACGCCGAAGATGTACCGCTCTCTGATGTAGGTGGCGGCAGGCTAAGCTGTGCTCCTGCTCAAGAATGAGCGTGTGAGTCTGTACCCGGGCGAAGTGATGTGTCGAACCTCATACTGCATGTTGATTGTTGATATATGCTGGGTATATGGCGCTTAAAATGCATCGCTCGCAAGGTCTTCCGCCAAACCTTCTAGCTCTTCCTGCCTAAACGGTACCAATAATCTTTCGGTACCCATGGCATCTTTCCGGCTTTCAATCATCTGATGGTCGTGGAACTCCTTCAAGAGGGTCCTGAAACCGACTTCACTGGAGCAGACAAATTCCTGCACCGCCTTGTGGTACAAGACACGGTACTCCACGCCCTGATTGGACTCAGGCGCGACCGCCTTGGCTTGTGCGACCTTCTTTTTCTTCGGCATTTCGGTGGCTTCATCATCATCGTCGAGACCTTGATCCATGATGTCTAGAGCAAGCTGTTCCATCGCAAGAATGCGATACAGCGATCGTGCGTTTTCAGGCAGCGAGCGCAAGACGAAGCCCACGCCGTCTCGGCCACCCACACGACGGCCACTGCGGCCGAGCAGCTCATTGACAGTTTCAACAACGTCAATCTCAGCGTCGTAAGGCGCGAAGGTGGTCGCATCGTGGAAGAGAAACTTGTACTGCGTTTTCAGCCCTACATCCCACAGCAGCGGGAAGTTCAGTGTATCGGCTGTACATATGAGGTTGATGGACGGATGCGCGGCGAGACGAGCCAGCATCGAGGGTGTCGAAGACTTTCGCAGATATGGTGAGTCGATGGAGTTCAGGATGACGGGTATGGGGTGCGGAGGTGGGCTACTTGACAGATATTCGAGTACAAAATCAAGCAGCACGGCGGGCTGATTGGGCAGCTTTGTCGTTGGGGGCACAGCAATTGATGCAATGGTCGTCAAGAGTTCCTTCAAGGTAGTACCCGCAGCGTAGCCGTTGATCACGGCAATTTTTGGGGTCTTCTTCGAGCCCTTGTAGGGCGGCGCCCCTGATAGATGTTGATAGAGATGCGTTGCAAACTTTCTGGTTATGGCGCGTTTCGAGCCGTAGCCATAAAGACAGACATTGAAGCCCTCTTCTAGCTCAAAGATCCACTGGTCGAAGGCACGACTGTGCAGTTCCAGTAGGAACTCCATCTCAGGCTCATGACGGTCTTGATAACTTGAAGTCGCCTGGAAGTACTCGTCATGATTGAGGAGATATTGTGCAGAGAGAGTGTTGTTCGAGGTCTTCAGTCCGCCCGGTCGGTTCTGCCAGAAATACTCCTCGTGCGGCGGCAGCTCCGTCGGTGGCGTAGGCGACTTAGGCTTCTTCTTCCCCGAGCCTTTTGGTCGCCCCCTGCCACGCTTCGATGGTGTCTCCGGCACAGGCACCTCCGGTTGTGGTATCTCTTCGACAGTCTCTACTGCTCCACCTTCCTCTTCCAAAATCTGCTCTGTTAATGTCTCTTCCTCGTCAAGCACCTCGTCATCGCTCTCTTCGCCGTTGAGTGTGCGCTCGAGTATTCTCCGGTTGCTCTTCTTCCTAGCGCTGCGGTCGGCATTGCGAATAAGGGTTGGCGTGCCGTTGGGCGTGTCTCCGTTCACATAGTTTGTAGACGTCTCGAAAAGCAGCTTCCGAGTCGACCTTGGTGTCGTACCAATGGCACCGTTGATTGTGCCTGTCTTCTTCAAGATCGACTTAGGAGTGCCAAAGTCTGTCAAGTATTGGTTTCTGGCTCGCCGTGACGGTGTCTGCGCCTCGAAAGCGTCTGAGTCGGTGGCAGTGGCGTCATCGTCCACAATGCGGGCGCGTAGCTTGCGTGGTGTTCCGTCCTCTTCAGCATCGTCTCGTCTGCGCTTGGTGCTGACCATATCTTTGCGGTGCTGGTGTTTGTTGCCCTGACGCGTATTTTCGCGTGTCAACTCGGGTGAGATTCGGTGATTGATGGCCCGGGATCTTCACTTGGCGAGGGCGTCTGCTTAGCGGTCGCTCTTTCCCCACGAAATCCACACTCGACCCGCCTCCGCACCCGTTCATCGCCTTCGAATTATGGGCCTGCTTCAACTTCGACGTCTCACTCATACTCCTTCACGGTTCTCGCAATGGCAGAGCCAAGCCAGCATAAGGCATATCCAGCCTTGGTCTTCACGCGCAATGCGCTGCTTTCACATGCGGGTTAACTGCCGCGCACATGGTAGATCTGACCATGACAGATTCGGTCATTTACCCGTGCGAGGTCGCACTTGAGGAAACAAACGCCGCTGGATCACCTACGTCTTGGAGCGCCTAACCTCTGCGTGTCACACGATGTCCAGCATCAACAAGGCCGCCGCGGCTTACAGTAGGATCCTTCGAGTTTGTGTCCGGGCGATTTGCGGTAGTTTGTACCAATTTCCACATTCACGTACGCAGACCTTGACCACAAACGACTTCAGAATGTAGAAGCAACCTCACAAGCTTGCGGCTGACGCCAACTGAGTAGCTTATGAGGCTTCTTCATACTTAAGAGATCTGCAACGCCATCCCGCTGCTGACCCGTTGAGGCTTGGTGCCACCACTCTAGCTTGACCTCATACGCTTCAATCGGTAATTCCGAACGGCCTTGCCTCGGTACATGGTACCTAACGTATCTCTCTGATCAAACTTTTCAGCAGCGTTGAGGCTCCAGAGTGATGGCTGGGAGGGGCCTCGGCACGTATCGTCAGCATCATTGGAGACACGGCCGAACGGTAGGAGATGACGTTGCATCGTCGGACCACGCCTCATGTAGCGTGCAATCCTTGTACCAGGATAGTACATTCTGTCTGCACGACCAAGGAAGTGGAGATCGGGGAGATCTGCGTGCAGAATAAGAGCTTCGTATCCCCCGCTGTGGGGAGACTGTACGAGCCCATCTTTTCCCCAGATCAGCCTCATTCCACACGATCAATAGTGGACTGTGCGCATATCCAAAGCCAGTTTTATCTGTCGAGAAAGCCAGGATGTCGGACGATGGTCAGCACCCTAGATTCATGGGACTTACTGGCCGGCCATTGAGCACGGCTGTGTCAGTGGTTGCTACAACTGGCTTTCTTCTCTTTGGTTATGATCGTGCGTACTTGCAACCTTATCGAGTATCGTTCTAATGCTGTGTACAGAGGGTGTCATGTCAGGCATTATCTCAGCCAAGCCTTTCAACGCTTACTTCCCGGAGATCCTATACAATTCAACATGGCAAGGCTTCGTGACTGCCATCTACGAGATCGGTTGTCTTGCTGGTGCCATTACGATGCTTCTTTACGGTGATACTCTTGGTCGTCGACGAGCTATCATGACCGGTGCGATTATCATGATTCTCGGCACTATCATCCAGGTCACTCCAATCAAGGGACACAATGCGGGCGCGCAGTTCATTTTGGGAAGGACGATAACTGTATGGTTACGTCTTCTCTTGCTCAGGGGTAAACACTAATATTTCGTGCATAGGGTGTCGGTAATGGCATGAACACAGCCACGATTCCAACATATCAGGCGGAGTGTTCCAAGACCTCGAACCGAGGGTTGTTGATTTGCATCGAAGGTGGCATCATTGCCTTTGGTACATTGATTGCGTACTGGACTGACTACGGCTGCTCATATGGACCTGACCAGCTCACCTGGCGCTTCCCTATTGCATTCCAGATCTCATTCGCCCTGGTCATTTTGATCGGCCCTATGTTCCTGCCTGAATCGCCCCGCTGGCTGCTGAGTAAAGATCGCCACGAGGATGCGATTAAGGTTATTGCAGCGCTCCGCGGATACAGGATGGACTCAGAGGAGACTCGCCTGGAGGCTCATATCATCATGGACTCGCTTCGAGCTTCTGGCCACAAGGGTGGCAACACACCGTTCAGCGCTCTGTTCACCAACGGCAAGACGCAACATTTCCGGCGCATGATGCTTGGAGCTTCATCCCAACTGATGCAACAGATTGGTGGTTGCAACGCGGTCATCTACTATTTTCCAATTCTGTTCGAAAAGTCTATTGGACAGACTCATGAGATATCACTGTTACTCGGCGGTGTTAACATGATCGTCTACTCGATCTTCGCAACTACGTCTTGGTTCATTATTGAGCGTGTCGGTCGCCGCAACCTGTTCTTGATCGGTACCGTTGGGCAAGGTAAGTTCTCTGAAGCGATCTCACTGTTGGTGGTGTTTCTGACAAACTCCAGGCTTATCAATGGTCATCGTGTTTGGAGCTCTGATTCCGGGTAACGAGAACGCTGCCAAAGGTGCAGCCGTTGGCTTGTTCACATACATTGCTTTCTTCGGCGCTACTTGGCTGCCTCTTCCTTGGCTATATCCTGCTGAGGTCAACCCGGTCAAAACCCGTGGCAAGGCGAACGCTGTGTCGACGTGCACTAACTGGCTCTTCAACTTCGTCGTAGTGATGATCACCCCCGTCATGATTTCCAACATCGGTGAGCGAACTTCCTCATACAGCCATGAGCATCAACTGATGAACTTAGGCTGGGGTACATACCTCTTCTTCGCCGTTGTCAACGCGTGTTTCCTGCCATTTATCTATATCTACTACCCAGAGACGGCAAGGCGTTCACTCGAAGAGATCGACTTAATCTTCGCCAAGGGTCATCTTGAGAACATGAATTATGTCAAGGCTGCCAAAGAGCTGCCATACTTGGACGAGCATGGTATCGAGCAGATGCAGCGTCAGTACGGGTTCTTCGACGAGCACGACACTGGGTTGGAGGTTCTGGGCGAGAAACAGAGCCACGGTCTGGTCTCTGAAGCTGTCACACCATGAGTAACGCAGTAGCACCATCGCATTCGCAAGGAAATAAGTAGCATACCAGCGCCCTCGCGGTCTATATGGGGGGATGCTGTGCAGGATTACCGGCTTCGACGTCCGCAAACTACCCGGCTCCAGAATAGTCATAGATGAACTAGGCACCTACTTTACAAATATACAAATAGAGAGCTTCGGACACCGCCGCTACTTGTGGCTGAACAGGTGTTCTGTCTAGCAGGGCCCTTACCTACATACGTACAACAATTATGTCAAAGCAACGTCTAGCGCCAAACTTTTGCTGAGAAAGGGTGTCCACGGGCCGTTCATAAGCGGATGACTGCAGCCTTCACGGTGTCGGCTGCGAACAGACTGCTCCAAGGCCCGACGATGCCGTGATGTTTGTCCGCTGAGCAGGTGATATATCAGCTGCAGGAAATGGTCGCAAACGTCATCGCCTTAAATTGGGTGAGACAGGCCGTAAATAGTGGTTAGGCTGCTCGTGAATAATGGATTAGGGGAGCTCTGATAGGCGGTGGCTGTTTGTGGCTGTCAAAGGAAGAACTAACGGTCCCCCGCGGCAGATCATAACCACCACGAACCCCTCAACCCCAACAACTGCACTTCTTCGACACTTCGCCTCTATACACGGATACTCGATTTCGCATACCGGAAGCTCGGACGTTGTTCAATTCACGACCGCCTTGTTGCGATAGAGTAGACTGCGATCGCCGCGCGGCGTGGTACCGGCAGCGAAACTGCCGATGCCAACATGGAACAACGCCGGCGACCCGAGTACAACCTCGACATCTTCGCAGACCTCGCCTGCGTGAAAGACGTTGTGAAGGGTGAGTCAAGTCTCCTTCCCTGCGTATTTCCAGACTTCCGTCGTGGCTACAAAGGGTCTTGCCTACCCCCACTTCCCCTCCGTCCGGACATGCACAGAACTCTGAGGAACCATAGCTTACACTCGCTATAGCGATATTGCACACCATCTTCTTCCACCGCTACTTCACCTCCATATCCCCTCTGACCCGCGACCTGCTCGACCTCACCCTTCCTGCCATCGACGATGTGGACCTCGAGACCCTGATCGACCAAAGGACGATAGCATTGGTACGAGCAATCGATAGTGCACACCAGCAGAGAGGAAGAGGGCAGCTTGTCGTGCAGTTTTTCGAGAGAAGGCGGAGAAAGACGTACTTCTTTGGTAGAGCAGACGAGGATGTGTGCTGGGAGCAGTGGACGCTGGACGTTACGCTTGCTCAACCAAGAACGGAAGCTGGTATGTTTACAAGCCCCAAAGACAAGATACTACTGACTTACATGACCAGATGTAATCAAAGTTCGCCGCGCCATGACCAAGTCACTCGAGAAAGCTGCACATAAGATCATCGGCATCGTGAACCGCGACAAAGATCACATCCCTCCCATCACAACCACCGACGCCAACCCTTTCCCATACCACATCATAGTCAATCCTAAAGCTGCAGCTGAGAACGACTGGCGACCACGCATAGGCATGTTCTGAGGAGTGGGGGCGGGGTACATGGACTGTATATATTGATACGGCGATGCGACACTGAAAGAGGAGGTTCCACACCAGTCGAGAGACTATAATGCCGCCACTACGAGTGACAATACTTACAAAAGAGACGGAAAAGTTTGGAGTTTGAGTGCCACTGCTGGCGCTTTGGGACATAACGCTACCCCCACCCTTCATCATCACCAAAATGGCCCTCAAGGTACGCACCACTGTACAGTGTCTGCTCAGTCGGACAAAAGCACATTTAGACATCGGCATATTTCCACCTTAGGATTCTTGGCTTATCCTTCGTTCATCTGCCTACATGCTGCTTTCCTTCTCATGATTGTTTTAGTTACACAAGATACCCCCTTCCTTAATCAAGTCCCGTTCATTCTTGCAAAAGACTATAGCACGCACACGAATAGCTTCGTGCAGATTGTATGGGGTGAAACATGATCATACTAAACGCTAACGCAGCAGCAGTACCGATTCGGTCAAAGTAGGCGAATGGCTTGGCCCAGACACTTACATAATCCACTCCTGTTGTTGAACTCACCCTGCGGGTTCTGCTGCACCGGCTAAATGCTGGCATGCCATTGGACAAGTGCCAGAGGGGCCCAGAAGCCATGGTGTTTGTCTTCAAAGATAGTGTTGCAGTTTGTGCCTGAAGCAAAGCTTGTAGACACTATTTGATTGATTCTTGGGGATGAGCGGAGGTACAGAGAGTCCATAGGGGTTTGACAGTCACCTAAGCAAGGCTTGGGTGATCAGGTGTGAGAGGGGGCCAGCTGGGGATACCAACTGCTTGTTGAAGTCGTCTCTTAAGCAAAGCTCGTAGACACTATTCGATTGGTTCTCGGGGATTGATTGATTGATTAATTGATTGGTTTAACGTCCTATCAGAGTCTAAGACTATGGAAGACAAGAGGAGCAGTAGCCCCTCTGGTAATGCAAAGATTTAGTTACATGAGAGTGAGGTCAATACAGGTACTAGGGATGGTGAGAGCTCAGGCCCAGAGCAACAAGCTAATAGCAATAAAGCAAAGCAAAATCAAACTAATAAAGAAAACATACTGCACTCCTGCAGTGTTGTGGCATCACTATGCCATGTCTTCTGTCTCAGGGAAGGTCTATCCAGTGGCGTCCTGAGGTTGCTGGTGGTGAGGCCTCTGTGTGGCCTTGTAGGTTTCTGTTACGATCCTACGTCCCACGATAGGACGACAAGCAATAAGTAACCGCCAACCAAACACGGAGGCCTGGGGGAAGGCGTAGCAAGGCAAGGCCGCCCGGCCGGCGCCTAGGGGGTTGCTCTCAGCCGAGCTGACACACGTGACAGAGCTCGTCAACGAGCAATGTCACGTGAGTGCTCGTCAACGAGCATGACGTGATGCTCGTCAACGAACATGACGGAAGCTCGTCAACAAACATGGTACGATGCTCGTTGACGAACCGCAATCCATCCGGATTGGCCAGGACCGACTCTGCTCGTCAACGAGCAGATCTGGTGGACTGTATATATATGTGTAGGAACACAACCCTTATGGTTCGTGTTCAACCTCGTCAATTAAGTTTGTCATTGGATCTCAACCAACCTTCGAGCTAGACAGATTGCCTGTACTACTCATCGTTACCCCAAGCCGTCGTTAGGTGTTTCACCCAGGCGACTTACCCCTACTGTTCCAGAGCCAGAGTTCATCCTCGAGAACCAATCGAATAGTGCTTACGAGCTTTGCTTAAAGTACGACTTCAACATTTTGAACACCCCCAAAGATGAGCCCTACTTCAGGAACGACTGCTACCCCAGCTAGCTCCCGCAACTCCGACGTCAACATGACCGATGCCATCGAGACCAACCATATCAATGTCAGCAAGCCTGACCTCTACCATGGAGATCGTGCCAAGCTCGATGACTGGCTCATGCAGTGGGACCTCTTCTTCATGTTCCAAGGAGATAAGGTACCCATCAAAAAACGTGTTACACTCGTCGCGAGTTACATGTGAGGAAATGCCTTCAAGTGGATCAAGCCATTCGTTCAACAGTACAACCAAGGCAACGCTCCTGATGAGGTTGACGCTTGGATGAACAACTTCGATGAATTCAAGACCAAGATTCGACCTGTGTTCGGAATCTCTAACGAACCAACGATTGCACGACGCGACATTCAGCGTATCCGTCAGACCAAGTCAGCCGCCGACTATGCCGCCAAGTTCCAGCAACTCGCTGCCAACACTGACTGGGATGACACTGCGTTGATAACCATGTTCCGTCAAGGCCTCAAGCCTAAGGTCAAGGAAGAGCTGATGCGCACCGGCGCCAGTACTGAGAATCTTGATGATCTTATCAATACCGCAATTGATCTTGACGTCAAGCTCTATGAGTTACAGCAAGAGCTTCGAGATGATCCACGTGTGCGAGCTGTCACGACCGACAGTCGTCCATCACCACGCAACCTATGGCGCAACAACAATCGGGCCAACCAGGGAAACCGCTACCAGCCAAATATGGGACAACGTGTGACTCACACTGACACCCGAGGCGGATACTACGGACCTGCCGCCATGGACCTGTCCAATATCAATAAGGGACCGGAGCAATGGAACAAGAAAGGACAGGGGAGCAGACATGACAAGTCAAAGTCCACATGTTACAGCTGTGGCAAAACAGGTCACTTCGCAAGGGACTGCCGTATGAAGAACAAGGTTGTTCGGCAGTTGAATATGATAACCTGCAGTGACAACGAAGGAGCCGACGATGAGTGGGAAATCCTCACCGACAACATGGGACGCCTGTTAGAGGACCCCGACTCCGGCTCTGAGGGAGATTATATCGGATCACCCAGTGGCACTGTTATGACTCAAGGGCAGGACCCAGGAGCATACGGTCGCGCACCGACACCACATCCCAGAATAGTGGTAGAACACGCAGACAGTCTGTTGGAATGCAACAAGGTGACACTACCAGAAAGAGAGGAGTCACGACGCAAGGAGCATATGGACCGACTGTGGCCTCGTGAAGGAAGAAGCAAGAACAACAGACGCAATCTAACTGATAACCCTGAAGCTATGCAGCGCCTAGTCAAGAGCACACTGCACCAAAGCATGGGTACACAGACTGAGGGAACCAGTGAGGTTAACCTCAAGGAAGCATGCGAGCAAGCGCTGATTGCAGTCAACAACCTACTCAAGACCGA